TTCCCGCTAACTCGTGTCGCGTCTCGAGACCGCCGAAATCTCGCGCTCAGGACGTAACGTAAAAACTATTAGTGAATCTCAAAATTATCCAGTATAATAGTTATAATTTTACACAATTTTTTACCAATGCGCTTGAGACTAAAGAAGCCTCTAGGCCAGTCCGCTGTGATTGTTGGTCGTCGATTTAAAAAAAAGTAACGGAAAAGTAACGAAAAGTTACTTTCTCAAGTAACGGTAACTGTAACGAGTTACTTTTAAAAATCGGTAACTAGTAACGGTAACTTGTTACTTTTCCTACTGGGTAACGAGTAACTATAACTTGTTACTTTTAAAAAGTAACTTTCCATTCCCTGATGGTAAGTAGCAAGAATTTTTAAATGCATTTAATAAAAAAAATAAAGTATACCTCCTTGGAATATTTATTCAACAAGTTGTCCCAAGCTGTCTTTCGAACTTCTAAAAATTCTTCTGGTATTTGAAAATTAAAGCTACTGCCTTTCTTTCCGGTAATTCTTCGTATGAATCAACAATATATCCATGAGAAATAATTATAGAAGATGTATAGATTATATAGATACAAATAAATTTACCTTTTAATACCTTCCGAATAAGACTGCGAAAGAAAATCATTATTAATGCTTTTATTCATTATGCAATTTTCCATTAGTTACATTACGTCACCACGTCAGTAACGTCAAGTATTAAATAATTTATAAACAAATTCATAAATTTGGCTTGAACATATGAGAACCACCCATGGAGCAGGGATGTCAGATCAGGGGATCGATTCTGTATCTCGAAACGAGGGGGTCGATTCTGCAACTTCAAACAAGGTGAAAATGGCTGCGTTCAGCAGACTCAACAGTTTTGCAACCGTTTTGTGATTCTTCGCTAAGATAGGACTATTCCTTTAAATCTAAAAGTATAATCCAATCAGCGCGACGAATCATAAAACGGTTGCAAAACTGCTGAGTCTGCTGAACGCAGCCAACGACAAAAGTGAGCAAATTTACTAGGTGTTGACCATCGACATCTAGACTGGACCGCTGATGGCAATGGTGGGGGTAGAAAGACGATTAGAGTGAGAGGCAGGAATAATAAGATCGTTCTTTCTCTGTTTACTGTTGTTTCTAACTAGCCTGATTAGTTGTTGGATTAACAACAACCAATCAGGCTTCAGTAAACAGAGAAAGAACGATCTTATTATTCCTACCTCTCACTCTAATCGTCTTTCTACCCCCACCATTGCCATCAGCGTCCATTCTAGATGTCGATGGTGTTGACCAATGAAATTATCAATATTCTAGTAAATTCTCTCCCATTTATAATTTTCACCTCGTTTCGAGATACAGAATCAAAGACATAGAGAATGGACTGCGCGATCCGTGTAGTGATATAGGATATGTTGGTCGAGGAAAATGAGAGAGAGGGACGTAGGTTGCGGCCAATCTCCCTCTTTTTCTAAGATTGAGATTGGTTCCTCCTTCGTCGCGTAGGAACGTATCTTGGCCATCAATCACTCTTTTTTGTAAGATATCTGTGCAACGTTTCGAGTCTCGGAAATCTTGCGTAAGTGTCATTTTTTATTCGTATCGAGACTGTATTAGAGAAGTACATAGAAATATGGTGTATACTTGTTGGGTGTGCAAGTGGCGAGGAGATAAAGAACCTAAAAGATCATTTCATAAGTAGATACACATATTAGGTTAGATTCGTGAAAAGCTTAAATATCTCATTTACAAAACTTTAAAATTATGTTTCGCCCTTATGGAAACAGACTGAAAATTTCGAAAAAACACTGAAAATAAGAGGTTAACGCTCAAATTTGAGTGTTAACCCATTTTCGTGTTTCTTCGAAAATTTTTAGTGTCTGTTTCCATAAGGACAGGGCCCGGAACATCACAATTTCACCGTTGAGTAGAAAAAGACACAGATTGGCCGCAACCTACGTCCCTCTCTCTCATTTTCCTCGACCAACATATCCTATACCACTACACGGATTGCGCAGTCCATTCTCTATGTCTTTG